TATATATAATAATATGTACTACAACACATTAACTTGAGTTTAGTTCATTATCAAATCTTATCATAATTGCATTGAGCATTTTGAACGCTCCTTTAAATGTGACTATATGCAAATTCCTTACATAATTTCGTATTTTGTAATAAAACAGATTCAAATACATAAACATAATTTCTTCCATGTAAGAAACATTAGTGAATAGAAACTTAAGAATTCAGTATCATTATCTTTTCAAGAAATCTGACATATATAAAATTATTCTTGCACAACCTTTCGTGACTTATAATCTAGTCTAAATCTTAAAAAGAAAACTTTTTAATCACGGTAGAATTCTTTGCATATTAAGTAAACATTAGAATAAATTTTATACATAGATTATGTCAGATTTCTTAAAAAGATAATGATACTGAATTCTTAAGTTTCTATTCACTAATGTTTCTTACATGGAAGAAATTATGTTTATGTATTTGAATCTGTTTTATTACAAAATACGAAATTATGTAAGGAATTTGCATATAGTCACATTTAAAGGAGCGTTCAAAATGCTCAATGCAATTATGATAAGATTTGATAATGAACTAAACTCAAGTTAATGTGTTGTAGTACATATTATTATATATATAACGTATTATTATATATATATTATTATATATATAACGTATTATTATATATATAATATTATTATATATATAACGTACATATTATTATATTATATATATAACGTACATATTATTATATATATAACGTTAAAATTCAGTCAGGTAAAACAATATAAGGCTCCATTATAACCGCTCAACGACATATTCGAGAATAACGGTAACAAGGAAGGAGCACTAGGAGTTAGCATTTGGCGGAGGTCTTCTATCATAATCTCGTCGATAATCTTTGTTTGGTCGCCAATCGCTAGAATAATTATCTCCTGGATAACCTCGACTTCTAAAATGGCTTGGAGGAATATCAGACGGATAACCACCACCACCTCCACCATATCCTCCTGGACCATATCCATAACTAGGTGGTCCTGATGGATATCTATAATAATCACTAAAGACAAATTTTACAATTTAAAATAGTTATGATTATAATCTTATTATGATTTATATATTTATGATTATAATCTTATTATTTATAACTTACCTTCGTTTATCATTCATATGCATACTGCGATCACGATCGCGATCTCTATCACGATGATATGCACTAGACATTCGGCCATAAGAATCGAAACGATCACGTTTGTGATCTCCAAACCTATACATGGGGGGTATAATATATACTATACTATATATACTATATATATATACTATATATACTATAATATATACTATAAAGCATACTTGATAATTTATATTAAATACTGTATTACAAAAAAAAATTTTGTTTTGATTATACCTTCCATCTCGCATGTCTCTTCCATCACGGGATAACCAATGGTCATCTTCTCTACTTCCACTATAATGTCCACTTATACTATAACCGCCACTATCTCTTCTAATTCGTTCATCTTTATTTCCACTCATCCTGTCCATACCTCTATCACTATGAGTTCTATCTCTATCTCTATCACGTTCTCTGTCTCTTTTCATGTCTTTATGTTTTGATTCCTTTTCTTTGTGTCGCGGAGTATCTACACTATTAGTGGTACTTGAAGTGGAATTTGGAGTCGACGTAATGGGTGTGATAGTGGTAGCACCAATAGTAACAGAAGATGTATTGCTGATACTGTTTACAGCAGATATAATTGAAAGATGTTTCTTACTCGGTGTACTGCTACTATTTGAATTTTCTTCCATATCTTCGACTTTTCGTTTTTGTAATCTACTATCTTTAATATTTTCTACTTGTTTATCGATATGTTTTTCATGCTTCTATAAAATAAATTACATTAATTATTTCTTACACTATATTAAAATAAAGACAAAATTTATCATTATACCTTTACATTATTTGATTCTTCTTTCTTTTCTGGGCTCGACGTTGCACTTGTATTACTTTCACCACCTTTTTTTGTTGCATGTTTGTACAATTTATATAGTTTCTTCGCATCAAATTCCGTAAACTTCGATACGAAGTACCATAAATTACTTCTCCATTCTTTTATTTGTTCAGGATCTCTATATTCTTCTAAACAAGTGTTAATTTGGTTTCCAATTTGTACAAGACATTGCCTCGTGTGGGCGACTTGTTCCGTTTCACTTAAGGACTGATCTGGTCTATCCAAAGCTTTAAGCGCCTTCTTCACTGGTCTCATTTTTTCTTTACACTGCATAGAATATACAATATACAATATACAACATCCAAATAGATACAAATATTTGATACAACATCAATATAATTAATAGTAACCTCGTTAAATATAGAAGGGTCTAAATCACCAAGAACATCAAGAGCTCTTGGTTCGTTATTAGCAGTGAAGTGCATGGGACCTGCTGCTTGTTTTGCTTTCTTAACCTTTTTATTTTCTTTTTTTTCCTTTTTAGTTTTTTTTTCTTTTTTTTTCTCTTCTACTATCTCTTCAATTTCTTCTTTAATTTCTTTTTTTATAACAACTTCTTCTTCTTTTTTCATCGATGGCTGTAATTAAAATAATAAACATGAAATATAAATAAAATAATTAACATGAAATATAAAGTATTTCTTAATGTTAAATGTAGACAAATAATAAAAATATTCATACAAATTTACCTTTTCAATTTTGGATTTAGATTTACTCTCTTCAGTTGAACTATCATTTTCTTCTACAATTTCTTTTGTAATTGCAGTTTTTGTCTCTTTTGGTTTCCTCGGTTTCCTTGCCTTAATCTAAAATCAAGATTTAGATATACTAAAATGTAAATATGAAGTGAACAATCTATAAATTATAAATCTTAAAAATACGAAATAAATAATTTCAAATTATAAATGTATATCGGATAAAGATGAAAACTACGAAGAGTTTAGAAATTACCTTAAATTGATATTCAGATTGTGGGATAAGGACGTAACCCTGTTGGGATAGAATACAAGGATAAAGGAGGTTTTCATAGGAATACTATAAAGTAATGTCTTCTTACCACTCCTAATTTCGAATCAATTTGTTTCTTGAGTACTTTTAGTAGATATTCGGCTCGAGTGTTTATTTTTTTAAATTGAAGTTTACTACCATTTGGAAAAAGTTTATCACCCAATTTTAAATTATTATCCATTTTTATGGCTTCCCATGAACCCATGCCGTGTTGATATATACCTCTTAAAAGTCTAGAGTCATCTTCAGAACTCCAATCACAATCAAAATTTGCCGGTTTCAATCTGTAACAGTAATTAAAATAAACCAAATATGTATTTATGTATCTAAATATATTTTCAAATCCAAAAAAATGATAAAATGAATATTTACTTGATGTCAATATGCCAATTAGACCGCTGTTCAAAATCAGAAGGTAAAGCCTGTTCTAAAGGTTCTAATTCCTTTACTGCAGCTGAGAATGATTTTGCATTGACCATAACACCACCAATTTTAAATGTAGGACCTCTACCTCTTTTACGACCAGGACCTTTACCTTCCTCTTCACCTTTATTTTCTTTTGCGGTACTTTCAAATTCAGATAAACAAGCTTCACATCTAGATTTTAATTGATCTCCTAAGAAACGTAATTCTGACATTGGCTTTTCTTGTAATTCTGCGTCCGCCGCAATATCATCTAATCTTTTCAACGGTGCAGGGAATTTCTTATAACTTTTAACAAATCTCCGTATCTGTGTAATAGAGGATTCGAATTTATTTGAATTATTATAAAGCATTATAAAGCATTTGAATGATTATAAAGCAAACTTAAGCACATACCTCTGCGTCAGTAAAACTTTTAATATTTTCTCGTGGTGTAACTCTTGGTCTACCTCTTTTTTTAGGACGTTCATCGTCACTACCTTCAGCTTCACTTCCAGAATCCTCACCTTCATCACTGTCATCGACGGATAACTTTTTTCTCTTTCGTCCTCTTGCTTAATAATGAAATAAACATTCAATGACATATCACATATTATAACAAATAAATTACATTATTTTAACACGTAACATACCTTCACCACTTTGATTAATTTGTTGCAATGTTTTCCGACTTCTTGGAGGTAAATATAAATCTTCCATTTCTTTTGATTTTTCTTCTTCTTCCACTTTTTTCCTAAAATTTTCTGGAATAATTTCAGCCTAAAATCAATCCGAATAAAAATATCTTAGTTTTTTATATAGAAATATTATTTTACATATAGAAATTTACTACTAAGAATTATATTTACCCAATCTTTACTTTCATCATCATTATCATTGGGTTGATTAACTGGTTCGGATTCTTCTTCAAATGCAGCAAAACTAGCAACTTTGAATGCAGATAACAACTCATCGCCTACTGTTGAAGGCCCTTCATCTCTCGTTTCCGCTCTCCTCAAAATTTCATCAATGTCGCACTAATCATATAAAAATAATAAATATTTATTTATTTAATCTATATATGATTTATAAATAAATATCTATATAAATTAGAATAGTTTAAATTCGTCTGAATAATTACAGTAGGTTCTTCATCTCCATCTTCTTCATCTTTAAATAAATCTTCAGCTCCAAATTTTAAAATAGCATTTAAATCTTCTTTGTTAAATGGATTATTATTGGTCCCTGCATTTTTTTTATCTAATACTGTTCGACCAGTTGTATCCATTCGTTGAATTACAAGATGATCCAGAACCATTTTTTGTTTTGCTCTTTCTACTATCTCTTCTTCTACAGAATTTTTTGTCACTAAGCGATAAATATTTACCTACATAAAATAGAAGATTCTTATTAATATTTAAATATTTAAAATAACTATAATATTGATAAGAAATATTAAATGATTATTAATATTAAAATACCTGATTTTTTTGTCCAATACGATGTGCTCTAGCTTGTGCTTGTAAATCATTTTGTGGGTTCCAATCTGAATCAAAAATTATAACAGTATCAGCAGTAGCAAGATTAATACCAAGACCACCTGCTCTTGTTGATAATAAAAAACAAAAATCTTGTGATCCTTCGGCATTAAAATGATCTAGAGCTTGTTTTCGTAGTTCTCCTTTTATACTTCCATCTAATCTTTGGAATGGAAAATGTTTTTTTTGTAGATATTCCCCAAGAATATCTAACATCCTGACCATTTGACTAAATATTAACACTCTATGACCTGTTTCTCGTAATCTCACCAATAATTTATCAAGAAGAACTAATTTTCCAGAACCTCTAATCAATTGTTGTAAGTAATCTTCATTATTGTCTTTTCTTTCACTTTCAGTAGGTTTTGTAAGAAAAGCATGATTACAACATTTTTTCAATTCAATGACGATATTTAGAAACGTCATGGTAGAACCTTTAACACCTTTCCGTAATGCATTATAATTTTTAGTTAATATCCACTTATAATATTGTTTTTGTAAGGATGTCATTTCCACTCGTAATATTTGTTCAACTTTAGCAGGTAGAGATTTTTCTACATCTTTTTTAACACGTCGTAAAATAAATGGTTCTAATTGTTTATGTAACTTGGAATATCCTTTCTGAGCAGCATTGTCATGCTCTTTTTCAAACTCTTCCCATGAACCAAATCTATATGTATAAAAAAAAACATTATAGAATTTTATTATAAATAATAAAAGATAAAATAATAATAAACATTATAAAAAATAACTAACTTGGTAGGCATTATGAAATGTAATAAGGCCCATAATTCTTTCAAACTGTTTTGTAATGGAGTACCAGTTATTAAAAGACGATGATTTGTATGAAATTCAGCAAGGGCTTTATATAAGAGAGAATCATCGTTTTTTAATCGATGTGCTTCGTCTACTAACAATACGGCCCAATTTAAGGCACCTAGAAATGCTTTATCCTTAAGTACTATCTCATATGTCGTGAGTATTGCATTAAATTTTAATCTTTTTGAACTATAACACCATTCATACTCTCTAATCTGAAATAAATAATATAAATATATTTAATTCGCAATTTTTTTTAAATACTTAAAAAAATTCGAATAAATACTACATACAACATTACGAGATGTGACATCACCCAAATATGTAACAAAATTCATATCTGGTGCCCATTGTGACATTTCTCTTTGCCAGGAAGTCATTGTTGAAAGAGGGACTACTAATAAAAATGGCCCATAAAGCTGGTGTGTATGGAATAAATAATAAAGGAAGCATATTGTTTGTATAGTTTTACCAAGACCCATTTCGTCTGCTAAAATAACACTGAAAACAAATAAAATTCATCATAATATAAAACGTATGTTAAGAAATTCGTTAATATATTATAAAATTTCAATATAGCAAAAAAAAAAAAA